TCTATCGCCATCAACGTCGATCGGGGGACTTAATACGCCATTGCTGCTCCCCGAAGAAACATTGAACATGGCTGGACTGCTGAAATCGCGTTGTTGACGGCAATCTGATCATATGTCCTCTTCTTTTTAGAGATTCGGCGGCTCTTATCTAAAATGAATGTACATAATATATTGCAATGTCACGTATATATTATATTCAATTAAATTTTCAATATTTATTTATTTATTCATTTGTTTAATACGTTTTCTTATATTCTATCTAGTGATATATATTCTTTACCAGTTAATTCATTCATTCATTCATTCATTCATTCATTCATTCATTCATTCATTCATTCATGCATTCATTCATTCATTCATTCATTCATTCATTCTTTCTTTCTTTTTTTCTTTTAGTTGTTCCATCAGTCAATAAATCACTGATCGATTCGCGCATTTTTATTTATATAAGTTCCGAATAGATCCGACTCCTTAATTCGTCATTCGCCAATTATCGAACACAACGTTTGTTAACAATCTAGTCATACAAACGCTTTATTAATGTTTCCAAGTGACCAGCATTGGCGTAAAATAGTGGGTGGTGAAATCTGTATATCTTAAAATGATTTCTTAAAAGTATATTTTCCTTACAAACTAAGCGAACTAGAAATTCTAAATCATGTAAACTTTACCTGCTTAATGTTCAGTGATGCGCTTTGTTCGTTAAAATACGTCTGAACGTGTAAGCTAAGAAAACAAATGTTGGCTCGTTGTAAACTACCTGCCTTTGGCGGGAAAATTTATGTTTCACGATGTTATACAGGAAAAAAAAGAGACATCGTCCGAATAAACATGATAACAATTGAGCACCGAACCCGCTATACATTCATAATTCTTTTCAAAACGGTTAACACGGTTCAATTTCAGTTTCATGTTAATCTGGTTAAATAAGATATTATTTTAAACATGCGGGAGTCATATTTTAGGAGATTTTAACGCTTTGTAAAGCAAGAAAATTAAATATCTATATAACGTATTTAAATAGGTGCACCAGGAAACACTGAAACTATTGATAGTAGGCTGTATTGTAATGAATTTTCAATGAAATGTTTACCGGCAAACAACTTATACAAACTAATAAGGCATATAACATGCGTTTTTCAGTTTATTTTTCTCTATTTATCTTAAAGGCAACTTTCAGTCATCTGTATCTAAATTTTACACTTGTTATTTGCTCATATATAAGCGGTGAATTTAATCAATATTATATTCCAGAATTTTTCCCAATTGTCTACTTGTGTGTGAAACTATTGTTGTTGAAAGCGTGTCAAGTCTTTTTTTCCGGCGGAATTTACAGGGGAGAGTTGATTATATGTACAAATGTCATTGGTCAGTTTAAAATAACAATATGAACTCTCGGAATATGATTGGCCATTGACATTGTATTCGCGTCTAATTTTTGATTGATCTAAAGGAGTCTGGAAACGAACGACATCAGCATTCATAAGTTCTTTTAATATCAAGTTAGATTTCAGAAACATTAACGAAACCACCACTTACAAACTTGTACGTCCACGCTCCCGTTTGTTCACGCGCATGAAAATAGCGAAAATCTCACAAGAAAATAAACTTATCCGGTATTATCAGTTATATTTTGTGATATGGATACAAAGTTTATAATTTTCATGTATTTTACATATTTATGAAGTATTTATATGACTGCTAACGATTAAATGGTTAGTTTATAATTAATGTTTGTCAAAGATTAGAAAGCTTTCTTTTTGTACTATTTTCGGATTTAAGGTTTCATTCGATATTTCCAAAGGTGTTGTAAATCTGTTGATTCTGGTATTTTCGTATCAACAATACGTTGTCATTTATAAGCTTTCTATTAAAATTTCGATTTAATTACTTCAATTGCTTTAATGATTTTCTTTGAGCTAAAACGACATTCACAACTAGAACTATCGCTGAATGCGATTCATACCCCCACCAATGTCCTTGACAGAAGACCACTTGGAAAGGTGGTTAAGGGAATAATTTATGTGGCACAAATACATTAAAAGAAATTATCTCAGGTGAAAAAAAGACTAATTGTACAGGTAATAGTATAAATATATGTTATCAAAGCATGTTCGAAACAGTTAAAAATAACCTTTCATTTTCCCAATGCATTAAACATTTTATTTATAAGTCAATTTTTGACCTTCAAGTATGGCCTTGACCTTAATCTGACACAAGGGTAAGATGGGTTTTGCACATCGCCCAGTTTGGGTGAACGTTTGGGTGAACATTTGAGTAAAGTTTGAAGAAAATTCTTCCATTAGTATAGAATTTATAGAGTAGACACAATATATTGTCTAGTATTGGTTGCATGTAAATTTGAAGACTTAAAAAGGGGCATAACTTTGTCAAAATGCAATACAGAGTAATGAAACTTGACCTGCATATCTTATTTGCCACACCTCATATATCTTTTAAGTTTCAAGCAAATGCCTGAGCTAGTTTCAGAATTATTCAAGTACATGTTAAAATTTAAGAACATTTTCTAAGTCAATTTTTGACCTTCAAGTGTGACCTTGACCTTTAGCCGGCACAAAGGTGACATGGATTCTGCACATAACCTTGTTGAGGTGAACATTTGAGTAAAGTTTGAAGGAAATTCTTCCATTAGTATAGGATTTATAGAGCGGACACAACATAATGTCTAATATTTGATTGTATGTAAATTTGAAGACTTAAAAAGGGGCATAACTTTGTTAAATGCAATACAGAGTTATGAAACTTGAACAGCATATCATATTTGTGACCCTTCAAAAATATTTTAAGTTTCAAGCAAATACCTTTTCTAGATTTAGAAATATTCAAATAAATGTTAAAATTTAAGAATATTTTCATAGTCAATTTTTGACTTTCAAGTGTGACCTTGACCTTAAGCCAGCAAAAAAGTGACATAATTTCTGCACATCCCCTGGTTGAGATGAACATTTGAGCCAAGATTGAAGAAAATCTTTCAAGTAGTGTAGGACTTACAGAGCGGACATGACATACTGTGTAATATTAAATTGTTTGATATTTGACCTTCAATTGTGACCTTGACCTTGAGCTGACACATGGGCAACATGGGTTCTGCACATCCCCTGGTTGAGGGGAATATTTGAGCCAAGTTTGAAGAAAATCTTTCAATTAGTATAGGACTTACAGAGCGGACACAACATACTGTGTAATATTTGATTGTTTGATATTTGACCTTCAATTATGACCTTGACCTTGAGCTGGCACATGGACAACATGGGTTCTGCACATCCCCTTGTTGAGGTGAACATATGAGCCAAGTTTAAAGAAAATCGTTCAAGTAGTGCAGGACTTACAGAGCGGACACGACATACTGTGTAATATTTAATTGTTTGATATTTGACCTTCAATTTTGACCTTGACCTTGAGCTGACACATGGGCGACATGGGTTCTGCACATCCCCTGGTTGAGGTGAACATTTGAGCCAAGTTTGAAGAAAATCTTTCAAGTAGTGTAGGACTTACAGAGTGGACACGATATACTGTGTAATATTTGATAGTGTTTGATATTTGACCTTCAATTGTGACCTTGACCTTGAGCTGACACATGGACAACATAGGTTCTGCACATCCCCTGGTTGAGGTGAACATTTGAGCCAAGTTTGAAGAAAATCTTTCAAGTAGTGTAGGACTTACAGAACGGACACGACATTCTGTGTAATATTTGATAGTGTTTGATATTTGACCTTCAATTTTGACCTTGACCTTGAGCTGACACATGGGCGACATGGGTTCTGCACATCCCCTGGTTGAGGTGAACATTTGAGCCAAGTTTGAAGAAAATCTTTCAAGTAGTGTAGGACTTACAGAGCGGACACGACATACTGTGTAATATTTGATAGTGTTTGATATTTGACCTTCAATTGTGACCTTGACCTTGAGCTGACACATGGGTAACATGGATTCTGCACATCCCCTTGTTGAGGTGAACATTTGAGCCAAGTTTGAAGAAAATCCTTCAATTGGTATAGGAGTTATAGAGCGGACACGAAAATGGAGACGGACCGACCGACCGACGGACGGACCGACGCGACAAAGCGAATCCATTATAGCCCCCCCCCCCACATTTTGTGGTGGGGGTATAATTATAATAGAAATAAATTAATTACATGGCGGTAAAATGAACTGAGACGAAATAAATTGAGCACGAAATGAATTGTTTTGTTTGTAATCCTTTATTTTTAAATGATTTACTTCAAACTTTACATTTTACACTTTGTATGGGCCAACATGTGCATATGGTTTTAATATCTAAAAAATTTAAACGTAAACTCAATATAACAATCTTTATGATTCTATTTCCATGTTTAATAAGATACTATATGCAAAATAAACCAGTTTAAGTTCGGTCTGCCGAGTATCTTTTTAAAGTTACTTATTGTTTCATTTAACAATGTACATTTGTCTTATTACCGTTGATAAGTTTCATTATGTTTTACATTGGAAAGAAATAAGGAGCAATTACAATATTCAACATTTGTGTATTATTATTTTGTGTTTTATTATTGAGGTTACGTATAGTCTACAACTGAACATTTGCGCTAATAATTTTCAAATTGGATTTCAATTTTTTGTTTTAAATTGTTAAAACTGATATTGAACCAAAATGTGATTCTTATTCTCGCTTGTTCTATTAACCATAACTTAATTTTAAATGCAGAAGTTTATAAATAATTACCAATGTTTAAAACATTGAAAGATCAAAGGGTATTGCATAACCTATTTTTCATTGTTAGTTGTCTAATGTCACGAACCACAATTTTGACCTATTGGATAATTATCCTGTTAAATTCTCTGTGAGCACTAGTACATGACAAACCTTTGTAGATCAACAGGTAGTAACTGAATGATTACTTATAATCAGAGAGAAACCGTAAACGATCTATGCTTCTTATTAACAATAAACTATTTGTGGCTCTATTTGATTTAGTTATATATTTGATTTCGTATATTTACACTACACACCGTTGAAGGATATACATTTGAATACGTGTTTTTAGTCAAACAGGAAGTAAATATTCATAATGAAGTGTTTAAGGTATTCCAGTATCATTGTAATAATTCTACAAAACTTAGGTATGATTTCTTTACTTATTATTTCATATTTGATTTACAATGATATACAAAGTAATTGATATACATGTTATAATCATGGTACATTTGTATTTCAATTAAAAATGGGAATAAATACCCGGGTTGATATTTTAATTGTGTCGTGCAGGTCTGTTGAAGATACGTACGAATGATTGTTTAAAATGTTGAGATTAAGATATGCGTGTACATTATTGAAATAATTATTGGGGATTTAGGCAATTTGCTAGTTTTAAATGACAGTTTTTTGAGCATTAATCAATCTTAAATCATTTGACTTTATAGGACTAGCTATCGCGTCTAAAATAGGTTTGACAGCTGTTTATATGCCCAATATAATTCAGTATTTTACTCTAAATGATTATTTTATTTGGTAAGTGGTACGAAGTACATGATATCCGGTATATTTTTTTACCAAATATCTAAAAATGTTGCTGGATTTTGAAACCTTATGTTGTCAAAGTGAACTAAAGGGCTTAAGTACCATTTATCATAGGACACTCCCTATCGATTATTAATCAATAATAATATTTCTAACAATGACAATAAGACAAAAGGATGATAAATAAGCGGTTTCAGAACACAAATGTAATGTTCTAAAGTGATCATGTATTAAAAATGTTATTACGGAATACATCCATAAACTGAGGAACTATTTCCTACCTAAATTTCTTTTGTGAATATCGGTTACAAGAAACATAGTCGGAAAGCTGAATACACTAATAGATATGTCATTTCTTAAACTGTAATCCATCAAGATTATTAAATCAACGTAGATGATATCTAGTGTATACGAATCATTAATAGCATCTGCAAAAATTTAAACAAGTATTATGTCACTATTTTACTAATATGGATAATTTGTACAAATATATATTATAGGAAACATTAATAGAATTTAAACAGTTTCAAGTAAGTATTATGCCACTATTTTATTTATATAAATTATTTGTTTTGGAAAAAACTAATGGTACCATTATATAAGAGCAGTCAGAATTTTTAAAACATAGTGAAATATTTTATGAAACACTGTATACAAAAACTGATTCTCCTGATGATTTTAATATTGAAGAGTGCTTAGGCAACATAACTGTCCCAAAATTGAGCAGAAATCAATCAGATTCGCTAGAAGGTCTCTTTACCTTTGAGGAAATTCAGAAACACTTAAGAATATGAAAAATGACAAAAGTCCAGAGTCTGATGGTTTTACATCAATCTTCTTTTTTTTTTTTAAAGTTTTTGGAAATAAATTGGACATTTTGTTGTCAGAAGTATTAATTATTCTTTTATTAAAGGTGAATTATCACTTACCCAAAGGCAAGGTATAAATACCTGTATTCTTAAAGAAAACAAACCAAAACAGTATTTAAAAAACTGGCGACCGATAACTTTATTGAATTATACTTTAAAACTAGCCTCGGGCACATTAGCCAAAAGACTTAAGTCAGTTTTAAGTTGTTTGATAGATACAGACTAAACAGGATTTCTAAAAGGAAGATTTATCGAAGAGAATATACGATAAGTCTACGATATAATGAATTATTTAGAAGAAAAAACTTGAATGCCAGGACTATTAGTAATGATATCTTACTGACTTTGAAAAAGCATTTTATATAGGGTGTGGTTGTCGTGGAGACCCAATCAGTCCTTATATTTTTATCTTATGTGCCGAAATATTAGCCATTAAAATAAGAACTAATAAAAATATAAAAGGTATATATAATGGAGCAGAGTATAAGATTTCACAGTATGCTGATGATACCTCATTATTTTTAGATGGATCTGATCAGTCTCTAAATTGTTCGCTTGATATTTTAAATGATTTTTCTATTATTTCTGGATTAAGAGTTAACTTTGAAAAACACATGTAATATGGATTGGCTCTTTCAAATATAGCATTAGAGCAATAAAAAATAGGTGGAAATTAATTTGGGGTAGTACATCATTTAGATTACTTGGTATCAACTTTCACATATAACATTGAATTATACTGAAAAATTGAAAATATCAAAAAATATATCCAGTGTTGGAAAAGAAGGACTTTAACACCTATTGGTAGAATAACTGTTGTAAAGTCACTGTTACTTCCTTTATTAACTAACTTGTTTATATCCCTTCAAAATCCTAATTCTCAGATGATAAAGGAAATAAATGATATGTTTTAGATTTATTGTGGCAAGTGGCAAGGTCCGCGAAAGATTAAATCTTCTGTATTGGTGAAGGAATATGTAAATGGTGGTCTAAAAATGATTGATGTATGTGCGTACATGAAAGGTTTAAAACTTTCATGGTTAAGAAGAATTGTATCATCTGAATGTGATAAATGTTACACTATTTTAGATAACTTTTTAGATATTAAGAAGCTATTTAATTGTAGAAAGTTATATACAAAAGTCATTTTGGAAAGATGTTTTAGGTGCTTATGTAGAATTTGTAGAAAAAATACCGATTATTTCTATGGAAATGTTGTTAGAAATGCCTCTGTTCTATTACCAATATATTTTGATGGATAGAAAACCTATTTTTATAAAAACATGGTATGATAAAGGTATAAGGTTTGAATTGGAAGCAAGATTAGGTATTAAAGTAAACTTCATTTACTATGAATTAATTACCAGTGCTGTCAAGAAATGCAGAAGTGTATTAAGTTTAAAGTTATGTGATAATTATGAAATTGCTTCCTTTTCTCCCATTATATGTTATTATCTAAAGCCTATACTACTTTGTGTTAAAGGTACATCAGACATGTACAATATATACATAAAAATGATGATATTCCAACTTGTCAGACTAAATGGAACACTTGCTTTCAATTAAGTCAATCTGACTGGAATAAAATACATAGTTAGGTTTTTTACATTACCAATGATTATTACTTGCAATTGTTTCAGACAAGACTAACACATAGAATATTAGCTACTAATTACCTTCTTTTGAAAATGAATTTATCAGTTTCAAGTATGTGTACTTTTTGTAAATCAGAACATGAAACATTGTTACATCTATGCTCATTTGTCAAAATATTGATTACAGAAATTATTAAAATTGTTAGGAATCATGATGCTTAATTTGATATTGATTGTCAAACTTTTATATAAGGTAATACAAAAAGAGCCAGTCAAAGTACAATATCCTATGTCTTGAGATAAAGAAATATGTTTATTTATGTAGAAGAAAAAATATTTTACCAAATATAGATGATTAGTTAGAAGTTTTAAATTAGCCTCTTCAATTATTGATGCATGTGCAAAAAATACAAAAGATAACATAATGAATTGGACAATTGTTCAAAAAATCATCTTAGACAAAGAACAAATCATAGCAATTCACAGAATACCAGGAAAAACAGGTGATATTAAACCAGTGCTGATGAAATTGAAAAATAATAATGCAAAAATTGAAATAATGAGAAAACGCAAACCCCTGAAAGATGATGACCACATGCTAATTGATGATGTAACACAACTTAACCAGGGTTTGATCAACAGGTTGTCACTTCATCAAGATATTATAAGTGCTTGGTTTTTTAATGGCAGTGTCTATGGTGCTACAGATACATGAAAAAGATACAAATTTGACATTTATGACAACTTAAACTCTATAATTAATTGAAAAACAGAACTATAAAATAAAACATAAAACATGTGTACAAGAACTCTCATGTTTATAACAAAAGGAGTTTATAGTAATTATCTTGATACTGACTTGGAAATAAACATTTCTTGCGTTCAAATGCATGAATCCCAAGCTGTTTTTACAACTGCAGATCTCATATAAAACGCTGTTAAGTTATATAATGTTTTATTTGCGTACTTCGACTTGAAAAAGTATAAATGTTATCCATGAATGTATATTAGTAAAATATTGGATTGCATGTGTATATTTGAAGATATATATACTACATGTAAAAGATGATGTTAATCATGTGGTGAATGGTTGTGTGGGGGTCGTTGGCTTGGTGCATTGGAGGGTCAATTCCCTTTAAATTTAATCATAGTTGGCCCGTTGCTGCGCTGGACTGAATGATACGTGCTATACTGCCATGTGTATATATTATAGGTACACTATACTATCATGTGTACATGTACTATATAATCATGTATTTATGTGCTATACAATCATTTGTATATGTATATTTAGAACTGTATAATCTTTTATGTTTAAGTTGTATAATCATTTATATAAGTACTATAAAATCATTTATATGTGATATAAAATCATATCATACATTATTGTTTATGTACTGTACACAGTAACCTTTTTTTCACATATTCTCAAATAAAAATTGTGATTATATACAAGTATACAAAAATGCTTGTTTCAGGATACAACTATATTATAACCAGTCATCTGCTTATCACACTTATATTATGGAACATCTACAAAATTAGAATTTGATGATATTTATTTAAAAGATGTCTTTATGTTGCACATAATATCATACTGTAGAAGACAATTCTTCGCAATTCTAGTTGCAACATCATTAACTATATAACATTTCTTTTTCTTCTTTTTTTCTCTTTAGTTTTAAATTCATTGTTTTAAAGACATTTTAAAATTTTCTTTTCACTGAGATTATGTATTAATTTCAGACAAGTGTTGTTATTTTGTACAATGGATATATAATGATGAATGTATTAAAATATCAATTGTCAATGAGTAATCTTAAGATTTTCTCTTATAATTGCCGAGGTTTAAATGATAGCATTAAGAGGCGTGATATTTTTAACTTATTCCATACCAAAAAAGCTGATATACTCTGTCTACAAGAAACACATTTTATTAAAGAAATTGAAAAAAAAAGTTTACTCCGATTGGGGTGGATTATGTTTTTTAATCATGGAAGGTCAAATGCTAAGGGTGTAGCCATTTTATGTAGGAAAAATTTAGGTATTAAAACTAATTCAGTTAAAACTGATGACTCTGGAAATTTTATAATTTTACAAGTATCAGTTGATTCAATAAATTTTCTACTAGTTAATGTATATGCTCCAAATATTGATAGTCCTTATTTCTTTAAAAATATTCTTGATGTTTTAGATTCTTTCAGTGATAATGGTTCATTAATTTTTTGTGGAGACTTTAATCTTGTTCAGAATCCAGACTTAGATTACCATAATTATAAAACAAAGGTTCATAATATTAAGGCTAGAAATTTTTTATTACAAGCTATTGAAGATAAAGACCTAATAGACCCTTTTAGAGAATTACATGGTGATGTCAGAAAATATACATGGAGACGAACTAACCCTATACAACAAGGCAGATTAGATTTTTTTCTTGTAACAAGTAATCTGTATCAGTTTGTACGTAAATGTGACATAGATGTTAGCTATAGATCTGATCATTCAATTATATATTTAGATTTTTGTTTTGTTCCTGTTAGTCATGAAAAAGGTTTATGGAAATTTAATAATGCTCTTTTACATGACATTGAGTTCCTTGATATAATAAATAACAAAATAGATGAAATAAAATTACAATATTGTTTACCAGTTTATGAAATAGATTTTATTTTAGATATACAAAATACAAAAATAGATTTTGTTATTAATGCTGAACTTTTTTGGAGACACTTTTAATTGAAATCAGAGGTAAAACTATTTCTTATAGCTCATTTAAGGCAAAGGAAAGAAATGTTTATGAAAAACAACTAATGGAAGAAATTATTCATAATTAACAAAATTTAACAATTGAAAATAAAGAGAAAACTTTTACATTTACAAAATGAATTGAATGAACTTAGATGCAATAAAATTAAAGGTGCTATGATCAGGTCTAGGTCACAGTGGATTGAATTAGGAGAAAAACCTACTAACTATTTTTTAAATTTAGAAAAATCACATTGTTTAGCTAAAACAATTCCTTTCCTAGAACTTGATGACGGAACTTTTATATATGATCAAAAACATATACTTACAGAAACTTGTTCTTATTATGAACATTTGTATAAAAATGTTGTTTTGACTAATGACTCTGATATTGATAAAGAATTAGATAATTGTGATATTACTATGTTGTCTCAGGATCAATCAGCAAAACTAGAAGGTCTCCTTTCGTACGATGAAGTCTCTTTAACATTAAAAAATATGAAAAATGATAAAAGTCCTGGATGTGATGGATTTACAGTTATATTTTTTTGGAATAGAATTGGACATTTTGTTGTGAAAGCTATTAATTATGCATATAATGCTAATTCATTTTCTAGAAATCAGAAATTAGGAACCATAAGATGTATTCCGAAAGAAAAAAGGCCAAAACAATTTTTAAAAAATTGGAGACCAATTACCTTATTAAATGTAGTATATAAATTAGCTTCAGGTAGTATATCAAATAGATTGAAAACTGTTTTAGATATTTTAGTGTCAAAAGATCAAACTGGATTTGTTAAGAATAGATATATTGGTGAGAATACTAGATTATATTATGATATAATGGAATTTACTGAAGATAATAATATGCCAGGTTTAATTATGATGATAGATTTTGAAAAAGCTTTTGATACTCTGTCTTTTACATTTATTGAGAAATGTATTTCGTTATTTTGTTTTGGTCCTATGTTAGGAAATGGATATCTCTGTTTTTATATAATACTGAAACTTGTGTCATATTAAATGGTTTTTTATCTATTTTTTTAAAGTTAGACGAGGTTGTAGGCAAGGCGATCCAATTTCACCGTATATTTTCATTTTATGTGCAGAGATATTAGCAGTAAAATAAGACAATGTAAGGATGTTAAACGCATAATTATAGATGAGGAAGAATATGAAATTAATCAATTTGCAGATGATACATCACTTCTATTAGATGGTTCAGAAAAATCTCTAAATACTGCTTTAAAGTTATTAAGTAAGTTTACAGAAATTTCTGGATTAAAGAAAAATTTTAACAAAACTAAGGTTATTTGGATAGGCTCTCTTAAAAATAGTACTAGGACAATTAAGACAAGATTGAAATTAACTTTGGGTGATACTCAGTTCAAATTGTTAGGTTTAATATTTGATGTTGATTTAGAAAAAATGATTGACTTAAATCTTAATGAAAAACTTCAAAAAGTAAAAAATAGTATCATTCACTGGAAAAAGAGAATATTAACTCCAATAGGAAAAATTGCTGTTATTAAGTCAATATTGCTTCCTTTATTTACTCACTGTAACACAAGCCTACCAATACCAAATACTGTAGTTTTGAAAACACTTAATGACTTATTTTATGACTTCATTTGAGAAGGCAAGGCAAAAATAAAACAATCACTACTTATTAAAACATACATAGAAGGTGGTTTAAACATGGTTGATATTTATAGTTATATACATAGTTTAAAGATAAAATGGTTTAAAAGATATGTTAGTAATAGCAAAATTAAATGTTATAAGCTAGTAATTACATTGTGTAATTTGATAAAATTTTTAACACTGGAAAGATGTTTTGTAATTTGATTATTAGTAAAATAACAAATAATTCTTTCTGGATTGAAGTTTTAAAAGCTTATATGGTGTTACTAGATAAACTTTGTATAGATAATATAGAGCAAGTATTACATATGCCACTTTTTACAATCACAACATTTAGCAGGAAATATATATATTTATATTCAGACATTATATAATAAAGGAATCAGATTTGTAAAAGATATTATAAATGAACAGGTTGAATTTGTAGATTTGATATATTTAGATCAGGTCACAGGTAAACCTGTGAATTTTTTTACAGTATCATAGTTTAAAACAGGCAATAAAAATGTACATGCAAAAGTTAAATACTTTTATTAGCAACAATTTGCTTAATGTTCAATATAATATAATAAATTGTTATGTTAAACCTATTTTAACTATAATTAACAATAAGAAATATGTTTATGAAATTATAGCTAAAAATTCAGACATACCTACAAGTCAAGAAAGGTGGAACACATGTTTTAAAGATAATAACATTAATTGGCAGTTAATATATAGTTATGTTTTCAAATGTTCTAAAGATTCATGTATTCAGTGGTTCCAAACAAGAATTATTCAAAGAACTTTAGCTACAAACTCACTTTTGTTTAAAATGAAAATTGTTGACAATAAAATGTGTACTTTTTGTAAATGCTGTGAAGAAACACTTTTACATTTATTTTGGGAATGCCAGAAAATTCAAAGCCTATTTCAATACCTTAGAGAAAAATTACATAATTTTGATGATGTTCTTTGTTGTAAATCATTCATATTAGGTACAGAAACTAAAGATTTTAAATATGACATATTGTTTTTAGAATTGAAAAGATGTATTTATTTGTCTAAGAGAAATTTTTTTTTAACCTACATGTATTGGTTTTAAAAATAGTTTGAAATTAGCTTGGAATATCTATAGAAATACACATTTGACAGATGATGAAAATAATAGATGGTCAATTATAAGATCCTTAATTGCTTAAACTACACTTAATATGTGAAACAAAACTTTACCTCGTAACAGATTGTTTAATAATAAGTAGCTTTTTTATTGGTAAAATATTTTTGGAAAATAGATGGGTTTTTATTGTATGTTTGTTGATTATATTTATATGCAAACTTATTTTGCAACATGTATATTGTATATTAACAATGTAAGGTATGATGGAGGATAACCTTGACCCCCTCATACCTATTACGGGGTAAATAAACAGGGTTACCCAGATGGGGCCTCAAACAAAAATTATTTAATTCTTTTTAAATTAATGTAAATTTATAATTCATTAATATGCAGCCATTGCTTTTTGTTAAAAGTTTGAGTATAAGAAACAACTACATAATGTTTTCTCTGTTCAATGTATGAGCTACCTTTCCTTTTTTCTCTTCTTTTATTTCCCTTGTGATTTTGTTTGTATATTATTTTGTGTATGTACATGTGTATATATTATTGTGGAAATGTGAAGATGTGATTAATACTCAACGACAATAATTGTTACTTTATCAACAAATATTTGATACATGTGTGTATATATATATTCACACATACATACATATTTATATGATAAATAAAATCTTTTTAAGGTATTGAGGGGGATGCCCTCGACCCCCCACATACCCAAGACGAGGGAAATAATAAAAAAAAATGTGTACAAATATAAATTATTTAATTGTGATATTCCCGATTAGTGACTTGTAGTCCCTGCAATTATTAAGTATCTAATTCTAATTTAGAGGTACAAGGAAAGTCGGAGGTAAATGTACCGTATACGAAACAAAATTATTTTAAAAATTGTCTTATGATTAAAGTCATCATATATACATGTATTTAGAAGCTTTTTCTTTTTGTGTATTTGCAGTTACTGGCATAGATTTCACAATTTCTAAGGATAAAGTTTTACTAGGTAGTAAAAGAACATTAACTATGAGATGTGATGTCACTGAAACAGGTGTTTATTATATTAACACCATACAGATACAAATACTTAAATCAACCACACTGTCTAGGTCATATCCTAATGATTGGCAGACATTAACATCAATGGAAGCAGGAATAAATCAAACTCCTTCATTAGATGGTGATGTAGTAGCAAATACTAAAGATTATGTTGCTGGAGGATCATGGGATTCTGACACACCTGCTAACACATATCTTACATTGTCTATGAACATGGAGAAGTTAGTTTGTGATGATGCTAGAGCTTATAGATGTGTATTGATGTATAAAAGTTCATTAGTAGGTGTCGTTTCAGTGCATGAAAAGAATGCCACGTTTACAGCTTATTTAATTTTATACATATCGTTTTAAGCTAATAATTATTATACATATCGTTTTAAGCTTATAGTGTGAATAAGTCAAGGCTGCTTTAAAAATAGCTCTTTGGAATTTATAATGCAAAGCTCTTTAATAATGGTATGTATTAATTTAATCCCCCGGCGTCTGCATACTTACTAAACACTTATTCACACTATTGGTAGCATGTTTCATGCACTATTTGTCACTTTCGAAGTTCATGGTAAATTTGATTTCGAAATTGAATTATGCCGCAGGAGAACAAACATTCACTTGGAATCATATTTCTGGTAATGCGTCCACTTTGATAATTACATTTCGGGAAAAGGATTTCGTGAAACGGGATCATATCGGGAATTGATTTTGACTCAGCGTCTAATATTGTTTATTCTGTTTTTAATGAATTAATTGCGTAAAAAGTGTATTTTGACTGTAATTTATTAAAATATTGTTCAGTATCTGCAAATTTAAGGTATCTTACGATCGTATTTATGACACGATTGTGAACGCACCAAGAGTCTTAATCCAGGAAAAGCACCTTTGCGAAACTTCGTATAAGGATTAAAAGTAATCGACAAGATGTTCCAAATGTCAATTCAGGCGGGAACCACAATGAGGTAGAGAACAAGATCGCATTGATTCTTTGAATAGCAAGCAGGTCCGAAGCTAACGTTTACTACCATTTCATTATATATTGAAATTATTGTTGTATTATCAGTAAATCAGTAAGTTCCAAGGCAATTAATTAAATAAAAATATAAAAATAAATATGGCTTAACTTTTACAAACAAAGAGGCAACAGTCCGTCAAAATGAAAGTATGTTGTTTGTAAATGTCCGTGAAAGCGATCGCAGATAATGTGGTATTGACAAACTCTATTTTCAGTATCAGTTGATTGTCTTGTTAGGGAATGTTTTATTATGTTATCCTATATTCATGTACCTGAGTTAAGGTGTCTGGTCAAGGATAGACATGTTTTTTTCTGTTTTTAATAGATTTTGTTACGAAGATTCCTATTAACACAGTACAAATGTATTTAAAGATAACCAAACGTAAAAAAAAAAAAAAAAAAAAAAAAAAAAAAAAAAACGTTGAAAGTAATTTTTCAGTTCTCTGCAAATTTAAGGTATCTTACGATCGTATTTATGACACGATTGTGAACGCACCAAGAGTCTTAATCCAGGAAAAGCACCTTTGCGAAACTTCGTATTAGGATTAAAAGTAATCGACAAGATGTTCCAAATGTCAATTTAGGCGGGAACCACAATGAGGTAGAGAACAAGATTGCATTGATTCTTTGAATAGCAAGCAGGCCCGAAGCTAACGTTTACTACCATTTCATTATATATTGAAATTATTGTTGTATTATCAGTAAATCAGTAAGTTCCAAGGCAATTAATTAAATAAAAATACAAAAATAAATATGGCTTAACTTTTACAAACAAAGAGGCAACAGTCCGTCAAAATGAAAGTATGTTGTTTGTAAATGTCCGTGAAAGCGATCGCAGATAATGTGGTATTGACAAACTCTATTTTCAGTATCAGTTGATTGTCTTGTTAGGGAATGTTTTATTATGTTATCCTATATTCATGTACCTGAGTTAAGGTGTCTGGTCAAGGATAGACATGTTTTTTTCTGTTTTTAATAGATTTTGGTACGAAGATTCCTATAAACACAGTACAAATGTATTTAAAGATAACCAAAAAAAAAAAAAACAAAAAAAAAAAACAAAAACAACGTTGAAAGTAAGTTTTTCTTAACGCGATCGGCAATTTCCGCCAACCTTTTTTACCGACCTATATGTCGGTTATACTAATATATAAATAGTTCTCGCTAATATATCAATCTATCCATTGTATTTTGTTATTAAGCGGGTTATAGATTTTTTTTATTTATTACAAAGATTATGTTACATACATAATACAATTTCATATTGTTTACGATGTTACTTTTAAAGTGCTGTAATTCAATAACGCCGCCGATTTTTAAAACACAAATAGCCATTTTTATAAGATCGACTGATTTTCGAAGAAAAAAAAATACATGACATTGTTACAGTCATGACGGCGTTATCGTCGACATCCCTAAACCTTCACGATGACCATAACTTTTTAAGCGCTAAGTATATTGTCTTCATACCTGTCCACAACAAACCTTTGGACAAGAACTTTTAAATAGACAAGACTAAGCTTGTCCTTCATTAATAAATGACCTCGATCTTGAAGGTCAATTGTTTAAATTTTACTTTACTTTTGCTGAGTTTTGCTATTATTGATTATAACTTTGTTTTGTTTGAATTGATTGTCTTTAAAATTGAACACAGCAATATTTTAGGATAGATATTCAAGAAAACATGACAGACCTTGACCTTCATTCATAAATGACATTGACCTTGAAAGTCAAACTACTGATTTGTTTTGTTGTAACTAGCTATAACTTTCGTTATTTAGACTGGATTATTTTCATATAAAGGCATAAAGATATAACTTTCTAAAGGATAAGACCTTGATGTAAATAAAACACAAATTGAAATGGCAAATTTGATCTTGGCATTCAAGGTTATATAATTTTTTTGATTTTTGCTATTTTTGCTGTATAAATCGATATTTTTTGAAAAGGAACTTCTAAAATGCTGAACTGACATTTACATTTAGCTTTAAATTACATTGACCGTCAAGGCCATATTACTGAATTTTGTTAAATTGTCATAATTTTTTTATTTAGTATGGATTTGATTTATACTTGGAAAAAACAAGACTTGCTACCAAACAAACATATCGAATAATTTAGATGAGACCTTGACCTTAAATTGACTTTGATCGTCCAGGTCAAATTTATGAAATACCTATAGTAATGAGATTTGGATCATGTGAACAGTTTTAGATGAAAATTGAACTTTGATATCAACTCACGTAGATTTTGACGAAGTGATATTCTTTTGAACTTTGATATCAGCTGACATAAATAATTTGACGAAGTGACCTACTTTCTTCCCCTTTGATGAACACATATGAAATTCAGACCATATGCTAAATTTTAGATGTTAAATTGAACTTTGACATCAGCTGACCTAGACTTTTACAAAGTGACCTTCTTTGAAACTTTGATATCGCTTGACCTATATAATTTGACGAGGTAAGATACTTTCTTGTCCTTTAATGTACCGCTATGGAATTTTGACCATGTGACACGGTAAAAATGTATTTTATGTTTTGCAAAATCAACGAATATACCTTTAAGAAAATTAAGGCAATCTTTGGAAACATTGTGGTAAATTTTAGGGATATTTTGAATAAGGCTTTTTACATACGGAAATGGTCAAATAAGTGTTTAAAGTAGGTGGGGTGGGGTAACATTTTATACATATTAAAACATTTAGAAACAATCATGCATCGTGTAATTCGCTACCTGAATGTTATTATTTGTGAGCAATAGGAAAACATTTTTCATAATGATGATATTAAAGATTATTTAGAGTTTCTTCATATCTGAAAAAGAGCCCTTCTAATAGCAAAGATTTAGTTCTGAAAAAATAAACCGCACGGTAGATTTTGCTATATGTTTTCATACAGGTTTCCTTTAAGGGATATAAATACCCTATGTTGTCATTTTTACAGTTCCTTATAGTGCCCATGAGGGGTGTTTTACATGACTTAGATTGTGTTGAAGTAACCGACTGTCTTGTCTGTTAATATACAGCTATAAAATTTAGACTATGTGCACAGTGTGAGATGTAAAATTACACTTTGATATCAGCTGGCCAAGATTTTATCAAACTGACCTTCTTACATGCCATTGGATGAACAGCTATTAGATTTGAACCATGTGTACAGTTTAAGGTTATTGTTTCCAGCACTTTTAAGTGTTGAGAATTGAGTAACACTCAAGTCGGTGCTCTGATGCGTGAGGGATGTTGCACTTTTTCATTATCCCTCATGTACAGACTTAATCAAACCGAGTCTTCAATTTTCGTGTCATTTTGCTGTATTTAATGCTTCCGAGGGATAAATTTTTCCAGGTATTTGATATCAGCTGACCCAAATAATTTGTCGAAGTGACCTATTTTCTTATCTTTTGATGTACAGCTATGAAATTTGGACAATGTGCACAATTTTGTATATAAAATTGAACTTTGATATCAGCTGACCTAAATGTTGATAAGGTGAGCTACTTTTATTATTTCATTTGATATACAGCTATATAATATGGACCATGTGCACAGATTTACAATCAACAAATTGTTCTACATGATCTAATATCAAAATTTTCACACGAATATGTTGGCCATTGACCTTTAACATAGATTCTCTAAGTATTAGCTCTTTGTGAATTGACTAAATGGTAAGTGCTACTAGTGTAATTTTTTTCGTTATGACATCTTAAAAATAGTATTCATTTGTAATGTAAATAAATTTTTTAAACATATTACGTTTGAAATTTGAGCATTGTTTTATTCGAAGTGTCTAAAGCAATGTTTATATTAAACACACGTATAGTAACAAGTATCTGTAAAGGCATAACATAGACATCATCATTTAATAGATCAATTATGTGTCATCTTTCACAATGCAGCGGGTACACAAATTTGGAATCAGCACTTTTGATATAGATCTAGTCATCCTCTAATTAATAATAATATATTGATAATAAGAATGACTTTATTTTATTCTCTAGTGTTTTAAAATTAACATTTATGTTGGATGATGGATTTTGGTAAATATTCCAGTAAAACCACAAGTGATATCTTTAATAACAAGGAAGAATGGTTTTATAGTGGAAGGAATGTCACCATCAAACATGGCCACAACTGAGGTAGGAGATGAGTTGGAACTGACATGTACTGCTAATATAGGAAGCTGTTCAACAACCATAATTCGCTGGCATAGAACTTCTGAAACTTCACCTAGCGATGAATTCATTGACTATCAACCGCCACAAGGTACCTTTGATGAGGGCACAGCAACCAGTGATAATCATTGTGGATATACTAGAGTTGCTTCAATCTGATACCACGTTACAACAGTCGATGCTAACAGGGATAACAATTTGGCATTCGAATGTTCCGTTAGAGTTGGTGGAGATCCATATGGAAAATCTTACACATCTGAACACAATCCGAGATTCTATACTGATGTCAGTAAGTGATCTATATTAGATCTAAATAGTATAGCTATTCATGTATATAAGTTTAAATGGAGTTGAATATCAAATTGAAATGTAAGTGTCATTATCTGATTCGTTACTACGTTGTACTCAAATAACAAATTTAAAAAGAAAAGGGTCATTATTTGTACTACATATATTATTCTTTATTCTTTTCAGTTGATATAATTTAGATATTAAAGACAGTTTAAAATTGGTAACCATGATTTAGTTGAACAGTCCCAATAATGTCAAAAACCTTGTGGGACGTAGAAACATTTTCCCAAAAATAAATGGATTGTTTCTTACCCGAATTTTGGAGATTTTTGGATGTAAAACTCTTTATTGATTCAGGGCGCTATTTAGGACCGACCGACGGACAATACTTTCCTAAACAAATTTCTTTTAAAAAATAAATCGATTAACATAGACATTGTCGGTAGTACTTTTGTCAACTAACAAATGATATTTCAATGAAAAAGAATACCTCTATAAAACACTTTTTCAATATTAACATAGTTTTAATGATGCAGGATCTTAATGCCGCTCTTGTTAAAATATTTGATGAAAGCTCGGAAAGCAGTACACACGTACACACAAACCTATTTGTTGAAAAATTTTAGACCTTTTTTCTGCATGTTAATTGTGTTTTTACGCTTCGTTTGTTTTCATTACAGCTAAGCAAGACAATGGAAACACAAGTTCTAAAATTGGTAAAATTTTTGTTCATATATTATGTTTCTGTGTGTTTGAATGTGTACAAAAGTCGGGTTGACAGCCGAGGATGTATTGGTATCAACCGATGTTAAATACAAAGTTATGTCTTTCTTTTGTTTTAGAAATATAAAATTAGATGTTGTGAAACAAAATCAATACTAGTCTTACAGGAAATTAAATGTAGTACTGATTTTGAATTACTATTTCTTTTCACTATTAAACTTTATGTATAGTAAATGAGTTATTCTATGAATATTTATCGGGATTTTCAAGCTATTGTCACCAATAACGTCTTTAAGTAATGATTTCAAATATTTAATACAACTTGTTTAGCAAGTATTAGCAACTTTTAACAGCGTTTGATTCTAGAAGCAATGATATCAACAGAAAATTTGGCTCTTGAAAACGTCTGGCTTTGAAAGATGAAATAAGGTTGCATAGAAAATATGTTTACGTACATATTTTAGATGAGAATCCTTTCATGGCATTCACTGGCGTTTTAACGGCTGCTTTAGTGGGGGCTGTGGTTTCCGCATTAGTTGTTGGGATTCTTTTAGGAGTGGTTTTAACAAAGTGTTATCAACGTTTTATAGGAACAGGTAGTCAGTTAGATTTATTGTGATATATGACTGAAATGTCACTTGTTAAAACTTTGTTGATATTTTGCAGTAAATAATTGATTTTGTTTGAGCAAGGATTCATATTTTCGAAACTAAATGAATAATGTATAAATCGTTTTAATCTATGACGAATGACTCTTATAAAAAGTAGCATAATGTAAGACCTGTTTTATTCGTCAAAATGACAGTGCAAATTGCTCTTCAAAAGTCGCTTGTCTTCAAAACTTTATACTGTGAATACAACTACATTCATTAGGTGTAAAAAAGTTTATATGTATGTTAATAAAATATAGGAGACAGGACGAATTATCAGCCTCAACAAATTGAGTTTCAAGAAACAGAGATAAGTGATGTGGCCCTGCCAGCGTAAGTTATTCTTTATAATTAAGATTTCAAGACTTTTCTCAACCCCTATACATTTTGTATTTGACAAAGTTAAAGTTAGCTTTTATATCGACAGTTGCGGTTTATTAATTGTAAACATATTCAAACGACTATTTTGGTTTCGTATGAATGTACAAGGTTATGGATGATTTTTTTTATAAATATAGATGCATAAATAATAATGATTCGTTTGTTTCTGAGTAATTTTAAAAAAAATATATTTCAAAGTGAGAACTAATGTGACAGCTCCAAAGTAAAATTATGTCTACAATTATGTAATAATTATGATATTTATTCAAAGTTACATTTAAGCGCTTTCAATCAAATCAATCTACATTTAGTGCGTATAATGCCAGGAACTATCAATTTTATATATTCAATTTGATATACTGACTATAACACGGCTCGCTCTTTTTTATTGAATGCTTATAGGAATACGTATGAACAACTTCAAAACAGAACGAATACGGAGGGAAGAATGACCTACGACTCGCTAAATGGTATTGCATTTCTATTTACACTGAATATAGCAGGCAAGGCATATATTAAGGCAACTTTTTTATGGCATAAAAAACTACAACTGTCATGTTTAAAAAAATCCATGACTATTACAATAGACAACTTGACAGTGTAAATAGGTTTACTTTGAAAGAAGCCCAATTGAAACATGCTCCTTAAATATTAACCTTAAAAACAACTTTTATCTGAACTATATCTTATGAACAGAAGCAATTTTGATATAAATATGAAGAATATACATGTCTGTATAATTATTAAAAATATAGCAATGTTGCTTGTATTTCTACGAAAAGGGCCCCTCGGTACCTATTTTGAAAAAAACCCAATTTGAAAAAGAAACCCAAGGGGAAAATTGAATTGACCAAAAAATGTAAGACAAAAATTTGGTTATTTTAATTTCCTTTTATTTAAAATTCCCAAAATTAAATTTGATAAAATTTAATCCCCTTAAAGACAAAACGGGGAAAAAAAAAGTTTTAATTTTGGCCAAATTTTTTTTTAATTAAAAACCCAAAAAACATATTGTTTAAAAAAATTGATTGAAATTGATATTAATTGTTTCAGTGAGTTCCAGGGGAATAACAAAAGGTAATTAAAAAGCCCTCCCAAATTAAAAAAATTTTTAATTCCGAATTTAAAAGGAACAAAAAGTTTTTTAAAAGGGGGAGCCTTTCAAATATGAGGGTTGCCCCCGAAAGGGTTTAAAAGCCAAAATAAAAATTTTAGGACGTAAAGCCACTAAGAGGACTTATAAAACGTGAATGCGTCATTAAATATTAAAGGTTTCAATACACACAAATTGATTATTAGATTCATTTCATTCAGAAAAAAGGATCGTATCAATTAATTAAAAAGAAATAAGGAACATCCAATTTGAAGGTGAATAAAAGGTTTATGTCCTATGAGTAAACGAATGATGCGACAAGGTTACAAAAAACTTGCACTGGCATCTTAAGGTATAACGTATTATTAAGTGCACTTTAATATAATTTAATTCAATATAATTGCATTATGTAATCAATGAATTCACTTGTATGCCTGTCTTTCAGCCCATCACAATATGAAAATCTGACACACTGATCAGAAATACCACACACTTATGCAGATGTAAAACACAACTGATAATATGGATACATTTTGAGATGGCTCCTGTTGACTTAAAGCATAATGAAATCCAACATCGTGAACACATTGTTAAATGATATTCTCTTGATGTATGACAATGTGATTGATAAATTCAACAACTGTAGAACCAAAAAACTACGTGTGACGGCATTCTTATGCCTACTTTTTAGGACATTGGTAATCTCGAATAGGCTTTTTGCCCATTTTTATCTTTTTTGAAGATATTATAGAATTATGATATTGTTTTATATTTGATTTTTCAGACATGCTCTTGTTTTTTTTTGTCAAGCAATCTTATAGCGCTTTAGTTGCTATTGTGTACACATATAAAATATCTGAAAAGCTTTACATGTAATCAGCCTATTCTACTCATATTTTACATTTAAGGAATGTCTGAATTCGGGGCCTGCGAGCTGTTGCACTTTTATAAACATACTCAATAAATTTAATTCTTTCGTCTTTTGTTTATGCTCACAGCAGCAGTTGTAGGTACAGATGCTGACCCTCTTTGACGTTGATTCAAATACTTTTACTGAGTATGCATTTATCTCTAACTTCATGGTAAAAGTCTAGACAAGCAACGTATGACTATGGATATGATAATCTGCATTGCAGCTCAATGGCAGCAAATTATTGGATGTATTAAAACATATAAGTACCAATGTCCCATCATGTTAAGCATTCTATTACATTAACATAAGATTTGAAGGCAAAGAACGGATATCAACTTGTAAATCAGTTTTTTTAATCTCTCAAATGATTTTCAAAATAGTTGTAGCCCAAGTATATTTTACTGACATTTGTGTGAAATAATTAACACATATTACTTTGTTTCAAAATACTTAATCGTATTAAACCACATACGTAGCATTTATTCAGTTTAATTGATATTCAGTCATATTAATTTGTCAACGCAATGATACTGTTTCGTGTAAAACTGTTTACTACCGTGATCATAGAAGTTATTCGATCTTGGAAGTTTGTGGAATTAACGGTAATTGGCATAAACTTCTGCACCGACAATATATGTATTTGAGTTTTATGAAAGAAATATAGTATTGGAATTTCATTTGTATTAACAAGGCGTGTGACTTACTTTCACTTCTTTAACTTTGATAAATCATGGTTATGCATTTCAGCATCAAAATGTATGTTTCTGTTAGATTTGTTTGATGCGTCATATATTGAGAAAGCACTGTCTGGTGGTTAAACAGCTAACACAAAAAATATGTTATATGCAGTCAAATTAAGATCGAAAACTTCAGATATATAATCATGTTAATTGTTTATTGTAAGTTGTTTACTTTTATTAATCTTAAAATACTTTTAAGACGTTCAGTCCCTAACATTATATATACATGTTGTCTCTTTTTTATTTAAAGGTATTCATATGACCAGATAACAGTGACCGTTGTTTTGTATATTTAATAAGAATTTGTTTGCTTGTTTGACTGGGTTTTACGTAACACCGACATGATAGTGGTCCAGCTTTACTGGTGTAGGAAGACCGCAGGTGCGTGCCCGTGCACGAAACCACCACGAACGTTTCGTAAGCAAGCTGGATAGATTCCTCACACGAAAGAGTCCAAAGTCCCTGTTGGGATTCTAACTCACAGCTCTGAGTGGCAAGTGGTTTGAAGACAACGACTTATGGGTATAAATACCAACGTGTATTAACAATAATATTTTATGGTACCTGTGGAGATATTTTATATATTATACCATCAATAGAAGTTTACTTGAATCCTAAGCGTGATGACTGAGAATTGAATATGTTCGTTGAAGTATATTCTCTTTTGTTTATTGGTCAACCTTATGTATCATTTCTTTTTTTGTATGATTATTGTCTTTCTTTTAAATTTCTTTTTCTTTAACCAAAAATTTATTATATGGGAACAATAATTAGTCATTTTGTCGTCTGTAGTAAATTCTTTTTTATATAATTAATATTGTTATTTGGTTTGTTTGATAAATCAATTCAAAATTGTTGTATTATTGAATAATGATAATGTATATATATTTGATAGGGGGAAATAACCCCATACCGCATGATTAAAAAAATAATATCGGGGCCATGCTGTTAATTGTTTATTTCATATGACTTACGTAAGTTTGTTTTTTCTTATTATCTTGTACGAATGTTTATTATCATATAATATTTAAACAAACGCCTCAATTGTTAGAAATATTCATTTGCCATAAAAAGTAAGTATGATGACATATCTAAACAAAATAATGTACTTACATGTACCATACATTGCAAAAATTGCATTCTTTTTAGCTGACATGATAGCGCCTGCTGTGGAATTTTCTGTAAAGTATTAAATGTAAAACGTGTTTTCATTGCATTTATATAGTATATTTTATGCCACAATAAACCTTAAAATTTTTGTGAATTCAATTTTAAGTGCCTATGTTTTTACTAATGTGGTATTTGATAAACTGTAAAATAGTTTTCAGAATGAAAAAAAATAAGACAGCTAAGATTAATACGTGATATAGAACTATTAGCAAGATTGATTTGTTTTCATATTTCATATTTTTTATCGTTTCATTGTATTCTTGTTTCAGCAGCACGCATCTGATGGGCTTTATTCTTTTAACAGTTTTAGGACATTCGGCACAGCTTTTAATTGCACTTTATGTTATTTTGATAGTCAATAAAAACGCAAATTATAAGTAATTAAGTGATTATCTTAAAAGAAACACACTTTTGTTTATTTTACTGCGACGTCGATTTTATTGTTACTTCACGTCAATTGTTTTCTATCAGGTTTGTGCCGTTGCTAAATATATTGAGTGAAATAAAGAAACATGATGTTCGTTTGTAGAAGATTGGGGGAAAAACAACAATAATCTATTCCTAAAGGAACTTTAATTATTGTCTAAGTGAGATCTGCCGAACGTCAGAGGAAGTTACTATAAGAAGAGGTGAAGCCAAGTCCCCAGTGGTGCTGAAAATTCTCTCTAAGGGTGAAGCAAGTCCCAAATAAGCGCCGCAAGTTTAAAAGCGCCTCAAGTCCAAGAACGCGCAACAATTTCCTGAAGCAGCAGGCAAGTCCAAAAACGCGGCAATACTGAAGGCGCACCAAGTTCAAAGTGCAAGAAAAAGCATTAGGCCCCCTCTGTCAAAGCAAGTCCTTTTCGGTAATAAAGACAAAGTCACCTTAAGTAGTGGACCCACGGTTAGACTTTAAGTCTGACAACTTCTTTCCCAAATTAAGTTTACAAAAAAAATATTTCTGCTATTTTATAAGTTTTTTCCTTTTGAATTTTTTCATTTTTAAAACTTTTTTTCAAAGTTTAAAGAATCTCAGTTTATCTAAAAAACTTAATTTTTAAAATGTAAGCATCCTAAAAGAAAAACTTTTTTAAAATTTAAAAATTTTTAATTTCTGTGGGGAGCGGGTTCCTTTCGAAACCCTTTTTAAAATAACGGCTGGGATAAGTTTAAAAAATACCTTTTTTTATAAAAACAAAAAATTCCGAAAGGGGCCTTTTTTGGAAAATTTTCAGAAAATTATGTTTTTTTACCAAATTTAAAAGGGGGATATTTTCAAATTTTTTTTTAAATTTTTTAAAAAAATTTTTTGAATCATAAAATAAATTTTATTTAAAAGTTATAATTTTTTTTGTTTTCCTTTAAAATATTTAAAATTTTAAATTTATTATTAAAAATTTTAAATTGTTTTAAAGCCCCGGGGAATTTGTTAAAAACTTGAATTGGGAGTTTTTAAGTTTTAAAAATTTGAATAAGTAAGGGGTTTTGGAAAAAGTTCTAAAAAAATTGTTTTAATTAAAAAATTTAATTTTAAGTAATTTTAAAAAACCTTAAATAAAAAGAAATAAA